CAGGAAATAAAATGAACAGGAATGTTACGTGAGTGTGTCTACGTACCAGCCCTCCAACTGACTTATTTATAGTCTGAGCCTTAACGTCTATTCATTAAAATCTCACAGAAGTCGTTGTCCCCTGGCCCTTGAGCTATAAAAGTGTATTTAATACACTCTTACCCAGAAATCAGCGGCTCTCCAGACCCTGTTATACTATGCAAGTAATGACAAAAACCCAGCCTCAAGCTCCTGTTGGTTGAGCTTTGGCATTATGAGCTTCCCCAGCATCACTGCTGGGGATCAGGGCACAGCTCAGGGCATTGTTTGTTTTCCGTGTAAGAAAATACAGTAGCATTTCATCGAACGGGTTGAGCCGGGGCGGCGGTGGCAGGTTATTGGCAGAGCCGTGCAGCGCCACGGCAGCATTGGCTGGAGCATCATCAGCCAAAGCACTTCACACGTCACTGTCCTTTTCCACAGCCAGTGGAATGTGAGGGGCAAAAGGGAAAGGGTTTTCAAAAGCTGTACGTGATTTTTGGTAGCTCTGGTCTAAAGAAAGTGAAATACCTGGATTTTGGAATGACCAGGAGGACAATGAGGCATAAATGGCACTTGGGATCAGGTTTTAAATTATTCAGGCAAGTAGCTCTTTTTCTTGTCAGACAGCTACTGAGAGGTATTTAGGCACCCAAATGCTATTGAAGTCAGTAGGAGTGGAACACTTAAATACCTTTCAGAGGTTAGTGTCAGAGTTCAAAAGAAGGATTTCAGAGACACTGAACTTCATCTTGTTAGAGCAAATGTGTTGGAAGCTTTTGTCTCGAGGTCAAATTGAGTGATGTGCCTCTTTACTCAAATATCCAGCTCCACACCTGCACCTGGAACTTGCCAAATCTGCAGTCAGCTAGTCAGAAATGGACACTGGGCTGGTGCTCCCTTTTGGAATGCCAAACTGGGAGGTTCCCTCAGGAATTTGCAGACAGGACATGTGACACCATGAAATACCATCACCTTTGCCTTTCCTTGAAAGAGCAGTGTATACAAAATATATGGGTTGTGGGAGGATTTTGTGAAAGCAGGCCAAAAGTTATATATAGGAAGGGTTTTTCCTTGAATCTCTTTCAGTTTATTAATAAAATCTTTCTTAGTTTTTTGGTAAAAATGACAAGTCCTACATTTCAAGTGGGACAAAAATATCTCTAATGTTATCTCTGTGGCTTCCTTTTATGTTACTTACAATCCATGCTGGAGGATTCTTCCAAGATTTTTCAAGCTTCTGAATGCCTAAAAGAGTTGCTATTAATTTACCACAGTGCTCTGCCAGCCATCTGTTGTGGTTTGTATCATTAAGTATCAGTAGGGGCTGTGTATTACAGAACAGGGAGAAAAGCTCTGACATAATAGAACTTGTCTCCCAGAGGAAACGATGGAGAGCCAGAGGCTACATCTTTTTGGACATTTAATACAGCTCAGGCGGAAGCGTAGGAGCTTGTACTGCAGGGCATTCTTGCAATCCTGTCTATGCAACCACAGAGGTCTAAAGTCTTCCTGGTTCTTGAAGGGCAGAAATCAGGATAGTCTGTAGACCTTTAAGAGCTAGTTACCTCTTCCTAACTTTAGAGCACAGTATTTGCCCATAATATATTTGCATTGCAAATGAAACTACTTGAAATATGAGTCTCCAGGAGAAGTAGAAAGACTCTACCTTATATGTATTTGCATTTCAATAGCACCTGAAATATATGTTGCAGGTCTTCTGTTTGCATTTGGCTCTTGGATAATCAGAAACTCAGTGTACAGGGGAATTGCTTTTTAAGGGAACAGTTCATAGCTGGGTCATGAGATTATAACAGTTTCACAGGGACTGACTGGTGGAAGAATTGCAGCCAGTCTGGGCTCCTGGAGCAGCATTGCATGTTTATGGTCTGTTCTTTTCAGTTACACCCAAAGGAAGAACATACTTTGGTTTTCTCTTTCATAGTCTTAGCATCTGGCTTTGCAAATGCCACTTTATTTCTTCCACTGCATGCTTTACTGGTGTCTTTCCCTTCTTCCCAACTTCTCCAGCTGGAACAGGCATAGCAGGTAAAGGACGATCAACAGCAAAGCACAACAAAGTAGTGTCCTGTGGGAACAAAGGAATACCCTAGCATGCAGGAAAGAATGATTAAGGTGATAGCCTAGGAAATTACACTCTCCAATTCAGTGCAATTCCTGGAGATGTGTTGAGACAAAGAACCGTGGATTGCCAGTGGGCATGTTCATACACAAAGGTACAGCGTATTTTGTTCCAACGTGACTAAACTCACACTGATAATGACATATTCAAATCTAGTGAGTGTGGTATATGTCCGTACCAGACATGGTATTTCGTATTCAGAAATGTTTTAGCTTGCTCATTGTTGGTATGATTCTTTTTGTTTATAAAAATAACCAGAAACAAGGGGGAGTCCAGACCTTCAGTCCAAATATTTTCTGTCTCATTGCAAATCATGTCATGGCTTGTTTTCATGTGAAGTAAGTGTTTCTGAAAGTAATAGCTGAAAATGTCAATTTAATTTATGAATATTTGGCCAAAATATATAAAAATCTTTAAAAAACAGAAAGTAATTAAAAATATTAGCCTTCTATTTGATTTTTAGCAACTGACATTCAATTATTGGGTGTCCAGTGTGCTCAGAGATGCTCTATAGTACCTATTTCTAAGACCTTTCCTCAACATGGCAGAACAAATATTACAGTGCACAGGTAAACACACAAAATGCTGTGCTTCATCTGTGGGTATAATCCATTGCTACTTATTATCTGTCTTTACTTTGTTCCTGTACTTGTTTACTTCACAGATTTGTCCTTATTAGTACCCACAAATGCATCCTTCGTGAACATCGCCAGTGTTCTTTGTTATCAAACACAGATGTGAAGAGACCACTGAGATTTTCTTGATACTTTTTCAGTCATTGAAAGTTTCTTTGTTGTTCTGTTTGGTCCTGGTCCAACACTGTAAGAGTCAGTGATTGTCTTTCCACCAGCTTCAATGGGATTTGGATCTTGCCTTTAATAGTTGCACTAAACCTGTTTTATTTGCAACCTTCAAGTATGTCTCAAATTTATTTTATTTTAAAAGTAATGATGTTTTGCTCTTTATCCTTCTTGGATTTTATATATTTTTGATTACTGTCTTTATATTCCATTAGTTGCTTCTTGTAAAATTCAAACCTTGTTGCAGTCCTTTACCCGTGCACTTACTCTCCTGCTCTCTCATACACTTTTTCAGCACTCTGTTTCTACTCAGCTAACAATAAACTACTTATCATCAGTTCTTAGGGGGGTTTAGTTTTAGGTTTCACTCTCCAGGAGCGTATATGTTCCTCCCAAGCCAACTGCACCACCTCTTTTAACTTCAGCAAAACTTGTTTGCTGTGCCTCTTTGCCAGTAAACATTGGAAATTTCTTTCATTAAAATAGATTTCATTTAATCAAATCAGGTCAAGTATTCACAACCATTTCAGACAATAAACTTTTCATAGAATCATAGAATGGCCTGGGTAGGAAGCAACCTTAATGATCATCTAGTTCCAATTTCCCTACTGTGGGCAGGGACACCTTCCACTAGACCAGGTTGCTCAGAGCTCCATCCAGCCTGACCCTGAGCCCTGAGGGATGAGGCATTCATAACTTCTCTGGGCAACCTGTTCCAGTGTCTCACTACCTTCACATTAAAGAATTTCTTCCTAATATCTAATCTAAACCTGCTCTCAGTTTGAAGCCATTCCTGCTTCTCCTGCCACTACATGCTCTTGTAGAAAGTCTCCGTATTTCTGGTAGGCTCCCTCTAGGTAGGCTCCCTCTAGAAAGACCACAGTTAGGGCACCCCAAAGTCTTCTCCAGGCTAAACAATCCCAATTTTCTTAGCCTTTCCTCATAGGAGAGGTGCTCCATCCCTCTAATCATTTTGTTGGCCTTCCTCTGGACTCGCTCCAACAGGCTGATGTCCTTCCTGTGCTGGGGATCCCAGAATGGGATGCAGCAATCCAAGTGGAGTTTCACCAGGGAGAAGGACAGAGGCAGGATCACCTCCCTCGACCTGCTGGCCATGCTGCTTTCCAGATATAGTTCTGTGTTGTTCAAAAGCCAGACCTCAGCAGTGCCCAAGACCAGATGCAGAGCAAGAGCAGAGGGACAGATGCACTCTCTGATGCTAACAGCAGGGAAAGGTTATTCCCCTTGTGTGACTCATGTCAAATAATGTCACTTGTTTATGTTAGGAGGGGTTGGCAAAGGCATTACTTTGTTAGTTTTTGTTTGATTATTTTATTTTTTTGGCTTTGAAGGACTTGGAGAAGAGCTGTGATGTTCCACAAGACCTGAAAGTACAGGCAGTGCCAGTACTATGGCAGCATGTAAAAAAATGGGAGGGAAAGTCGGGTATTAGATAAACAGCATTTCCCTAAGAACTTACACCTCGAGGAGAAATGACTGCCAGCAGCTTGGCATTAGAGGAGAATAAAGGTTGGCCTTGTTCCCAGTTCCAGTGGACACAACACAAAAAACGCCATGATTTTTGTAGGTTTTGTACTGCTAATGCTGTCCTTCATAAAAAAAAAAAAAAAAGAAAAAAAAAAAGAAAAAAAAAAGCTGTGGCAAAGGAAGTATCCACTCACTCTTCCATGCCACAGTTAGGATGAATCAGTGAAGCCTTAAGGGGGAATCTGGCTGCCGTTACCCAGGCATTCTCTGCCCTGTGTAGAAACAGGGCAAATTATTTCATTCTCCAGTGCTTCTGGCCCTGTATCTTCCTTGAGCGGGAAATTAATACAAAAATGGAAAGTAGGTTGCCATTAACATGGCAGTGATTATCTGACAACCAGACTTGGCATCTATTGAAGTCAAAGGAAAAGGAAAGGAAAAAAAAAAAAAAAAAGGCATCAACTTCCAAGGGCTTTGGCTCAAGGCCTAGGAGAACCTCTTCAAATTTCTGAGGATTGCTAGGCTACTGAAAAATACTGTACGTACAGAGCTTCAGTGTACATATGTTGCTTTGATTATTTCATGGATATCACGTGCTTTGATGTTGGAGGCTACATAGAGACCGCCAAAAAAGATCTGTTAACTAATGACTGTTTATGCTGTAGTAGGCAAATGCTGAAACTGAATTTGGCCTTTTTCCCCTGGGACGGAATCCAAATAAATGTCATGAAGTAACTGCACAAACAGCACTCACTGGAAAAAAAAGGTCTTTGTTTCACTAATAAGCTCTTTTAAGGAACAATGGATACAGTTTCTCAGTTTTCTTTGCATCTGACAAAATAAAGCAGGCAAGAATTCTATTTTAAGGCCGTTTGAATGAAAGCAATGAAAATTGGTTTGCTTAACAAAGGTAACTTGACTAACTGTTTGTTGTGGTTAGGAAGATGTGAGAACCCCTATGAAAGTTTCTTAATTCCTGAAAGAATTGCGTGGCCATGGAGAATTGCTTGTTTACTTGTCTGGTGAGGGCAGTTGGGTTCCAGCACAGAGTTTCATGGCCACAGATTTCATGGGCCAAAATACACCCAGGGGTTGTAAAGTCATCAGAGGATGCTGATGTTCAAGAATCTACAAGAACATGTCTTTTGGAGGGAAGTTACACTGTCATTTAGTTTACTTCTGATGCTTGTTAAACTATAGGTTGGGTAGCTGTTTTCTGTAATTCTTTAGTAGCTTTCAATGTCTGTGCTACCACTTTGAGGACAAATGCTCTTTTAGTCTTGGAGCCAGATTCCTCCAGATGTCCAGGTAACTCTACATGCATTACATACTGGAGGAACTGCTGGTTTCTGAGTGATGAACAGACTTCTCCAAATCCAGCCACCTCACCAGAGTAAGTTACAGTCTTTAGCTACTCACTGTACCTCCCCTGCCAAAGGCTGCTGCCCTCTCCATCTACTCACAAAACAACTTGTGTAGGAGTTCCCTTATTTTTTAAAAGTAAAATCAACTCCATTTGTTTTGCTCATCATTGGTCTGTACCATGATAACGGGCTGAGCCTGAAGCTGTGCCATGTAGGAAGTGTTCATACAAACTGTTCAATGAGCACATCAGTGGGGGTGATCCTTAATGAGGAGAGCAGGGAATGGTGCTGAGCAGCTGAGAGTAGTAACCTCTTCCAACTCACAGCAGGGTCCTGAAGAGGACATCTGTTCATGGCTTCTGTCTGCAGCTCCTTTGTAGTTCTGACCAAAATGCTTCTGGTAAAAAAGGAGTTCCTACTGGGGATAGGAGGGGGGTGAAAAAAAAAAAAAGGAAAGAAAAAAAAAAGTTGTTTTAAACATTTTCAGTAGGGAAATGTTGATTTGAAAGAAATGACAACAAAAAGTGAAATGGTGCCTCTAGTGCAGGAAGTGAGCTTTTATCCACTGAGTTCAGCAAAGCTGGGATTTCACACAAAAATATCCGGTTCAGGATTTCTTGCAGAAAACTGCTTTTGAATTGCACATTTCAATTTGTAGATTTACATTTTTGCCATGACAAAAAAACATGGTTTCTCTACCACTTCTAACACTTACTGCTGTACTACTACAAAAAAACCCAGGAGCGCATTTTACTCCCACTCAACCTGTAAAGACTTCAAATCCTTACTGTAGAATTGACCCTAACTATTTAAATGTTAAACTGCATCCATTTTAGAATGGGCACGACTGTAGTCACTAGACTGCAATCTGTAGTTGTGGAGAACTTCATTTTCATGTGGCTCATCTGCTCTAAAGTGTGGAGAGTAAGATGTTTACTGCCTGCTTTTTGCAGCACAGGAGACTTCCCTTGCCATCAACTCAAAGGCACCCAGTTTGCTGCCCAGTCCAGCCAGAATTTAATGCTTCAGAGCACAGCCCTAATGTGAAGGTACCAAAATGATCCATATTTCTTAAAATAACCACATTACAGTGGAGCAGAGTTTATGTTTTGCTGTTTCTGTTCAGCTCACAGCATTGTCATTTATTATTTCTTTGTTCTGTAAATATGTATTAAAAAACCCCAACTTGCAGCATATATACCCTCAGTTAACATTACATTTCAATAAATATCTCTCATCAGATTTTCTATGTTAAATAATTTGACAGTCTGTTGGTGTAAGACTTTATTGAGGGCGTTTCAAACAGTATGGATTAGATCCCCCCAGAACTGTAGAACTTCTCCACAATTATCCCTGTGTGTTGCTTAAAAAACATTTTCAGAGAAAACTGCATATTCCATATTTAAAGCACACCCTCTCTTATTTCTTCAAATGGGTGAGAATCATGGACCTTAATGAAGGCATAAATCTTTGATGTTTAATCTTTCCAAAGAAATGCAGTAGTGTTTGTGCAGGGAGGAAATTATGAAAAAAAATCAGTAACTACTGAAAAAACACAGAATATCTCAGTATTGCCATTTATGTAAACATCAGAAGCTCTTTGCTTTATAGTAAAGAATACAAGAAACTGACTTTTATCTCCCCGCCCCAGATTTCAGTAAATAGTATCCTCACAGTAAAATTATCTTCAGTTTTAACTGTGAAACCATGTGTGATGCTGTAGCCATAAGGATGGTTCCAGCTTCAATATAGCACTGCAGAATAAGCAAGAAATACCTTATAAATAGGGTCTGTTAAAAGAGGAAAGGGCATAATTTAAGGATCAGTATATAAATAAGTTGTAAGTCTTTTTTTGAATCTATATTGCTTTTCCTAAATGTACTAAAACTGTAAAGTAATATCAGTGGAAAATTGCAGGAGAATGATTTGTTTTCATAGTTCATTTATAGTTAATTTCCTGTACTAGTAGTACAGGGAAAATGATTTAGCAGCAAGTCTAGTGTGAATTCCTTACAAGAAACCAAAAGATAAATAGCTTACTCCCCACTGCCTAAAGGTTTGAGCGTGTGGATGTACTGAATTAATAAAATCTTTGGAGTCTTTGTGTGCTCCACTATGGAAGGCATGAAAAGTATTCCTCTACTGTGCAGTTTATTTTCTGTACATGTTCTCCAAGAAAGCAGCCTACAGATAATACAGGATAAGTTATCTGCAACTTTGAAAATTGCAGTCTGCTCTTAAGTTCTCTTCAGGTACAGCAGAAGGCTGTGAGCTTCCTACCCCCTACCTGGGGAAAAACTGAAGGTAACCCCATACAACTAAGACATCTGACAATCAGATGAATGCAGAAAGGGCTATTTACTGTGCTCTTTGCTTTCTTACAGATACATGGTGTTGTCCTCCCTATACATAAGCTCAGCTGTGCTAACTCATCCTCCTAATTTCTTCTATGGGAGCCAGAAGGATATTTATTGGGGTGGGGGAGGAGGTCACTCCTCTATGTGAGTGTTTGACTGCTGTTACACTAAGGTTGTTTGTGCTTTCTTTGTTCACTGCTCAGCACTGATGTGCTGGCAGTATCCATTTGAGAGAAGGATGAGAAGCAGGAAAGGGGTGAACTTGGCAGGATTTTTATTTTGGTATAATTTGTCCCTTACTTTAAACAAACAAGGCATATATAGGTATAATACCATATACACAAATACTCCATTAAAATATATGTAGGCAGAGAGTAAAAGACACAACATATTCCACTCTTTTCTCATTGGTAAACTAATCAGACTAGCAAGTACATATTAATGGTTCATGGCTGCTCCCCACTTTTCCTGCCCTCCAGCTGACTGCTTTTGAATAATAATTTGCATTTCCTCCCAAACCTCTTCCAATAAAAGATCTAAACCCCACTGGTCCTGAACTACTTTGACTAGGGAGGACTGCAGTGAAGCTGCTGACCAGCTGCTGTTGTAGCTCTGAAAATCAAATAAATTCATCTTCCACACATTTGCTCCCACACATTTTCTTTCATCAGTTACATGTGAGACACAGTGCAAATGGAATGGTCTCAATTATGAAGATCAGAGGAGTTATGCAATTAATCCTGCTTCTCTATTTCATTGATATCTAAAAGTAAAATACAGGTTATGCTTTCTTACCTAGTTCACAAAGGTTTTCTGTACTGAAATATATAAATGTAGGTTTAAATACTCAAATCAAAACATGAAGCAAGCAAATGCCTCATTGTGATAAGCTACTAAAACTTGGTTGTTCATTTTGTAGAGGATAACCTTGGTTCTTCAGTATTGGGTATTAAACCAGACATTCATATTGTTGATTAAAAAAAAAAGCAGTTGAAGCTACTGATAAACCAAAATGTGAACTGATAACAGAATCTTTGTTGTTTGAGTCTTGTTCAGCTTTATCCACCTGGAAAATAAGGATCAACCAATCCGGTATCAAAGAGTTGAAGAGTTTAACAATGCTGGCAGCTCATTTTAAAAGGATGCTTAGTGATGAAGTACATTAAGGGCTGTTATTTATCTTGCTGTGGTGGATATTGACCATCAATCTAAGTAAGGAGCTCAGTGCTCACCATCTGATTATAATGTTGTTAGGGAAGGAAAAGGCTGAATGTTAAGCTACATGGCAATTAACAGAGTTTCCTTTTAATCTTTCCAGATATGGCAGTTTGAATTATTAGCATCTGGGTTCATTGCACGACTGTTAAGATGTTGGCTTAACTCTGGAAGGTGCTGAGAGCTTTAGCTGAGCAGCTGACAATGTTTGTAGTACTACATTTATAATTCCTTAGGATTTCTGAAAAAACTACCCTTGACTTGAATGGAATAGGATCAGGTCCAGGTTTGGGTGTTGCTCACATTTTTCACAGGAAGACATGTATAAAAAGGTCAGTGAGACTCAGTGTGTGGCTGGATGGGGATAGCAGTTAAGTGAGGGACCTGCTTGTGTACCCGTTTTGATGAACTGCTGTCAGTATTTAGTGTATTCAGCCACATATATATGGTCTTACTAAAATTATGGAAGTAGTTAGACTGTGAGGATAAGGAGGCTTGCAGTGAATGTATAAATAAAAAACACTGTCTGCTTCCTAAAAAAACAGATGGCACTAATATTTGTAAATTAATTGAAATAAGTTGCTGATGACGTAGTAGTGAAGGTCAAGGAAACTTAGTCAGGTTTGAATTTTCCAGCAGCTGGAGAAGGTTATCTTATTTGCACTGTTCCTACACATAACTATAAAATGACTACAGCTGAAGTCTATAGCAGCCCTGTTTATTTATTTTACAAGTGTAAAACTGACATTTGTACTATAGTAGGAAACAATATTGTGATGACTTCCTGGTCAGGGAATCGTGTAATTATTGGGCGTACAGAAGCCACCACTCACATGGACAAGTGTGACCTATTTGAAATGCTGTGTATGGGTTGCCAGAGGAGTTTGACAAGATCTCTGCTAAAGGACTCTTAAATCATCTCAGAATGGTCTCATGGATTCTCCACAGATTTGAAACATGGGAAGCAATGGCTGTCAGTAAATGGGTAGCGAGGTAGTGGTGTATTCCCACAGGGATCTGGCCTGAAGCTTGAGCTCTTCAATGTATTCATAAGTGATCTGCACAACGGTGAGCTGACAGAATTTGCTAGTGATCCATGATTATTGTAGCTAATGGCATTTAAAATTAGTTGTGTGCATGTTACTGAATGACTGGCGGATGAAATTCAGTGCAAGTACATACAACAATGAATATGGAAAGAAACATTCTTGCCCTATACAAGGGTTGCACTGAATTACTGCTACCACTCAGGAAAGAGATGAGGAGTCCCTGTAGATGAAAGCTTCCATTCACTCCCCAGATGCTGTATAGAGAAGAATTGGGAATGGGACAAAGAATGAAACAAACATTTCATACAAAATAAATATTTTGTTACTATAATACAGAACAAATGTAGATTTCCAAAGCAGTGACATAATGCAAGGGTGGAAGCCCAGCTTTATGAAGTGTTTGAGTATCTCCCCTGCAGACAAATCAGGGCTTTGAGCCATGATGCCTGCATTGACAGGCAAATGCCCCTGGAGTGGCACAGTGCTCCCTTCTGCCTACTTTGCTGTAAGTCCAGCAACTTCACCACTGGGGCACTTAGGAATTGTATCTTCTTTAATCACCATAGCAAGACTTGTCAGCAAACTCTGTCCAAAAAAATTTTCATGAACTGTAGGATTTGTGCTTGAATCCATTTAGTTAGTGATACATGGGTTCCTGAGAATGTCTTAACTTGTTATTTTACATTGTGCATTTCTATGTTTAACTCTCAGATACCAGTTTTACTTAAAAATATACATTATTTTACAAATACGTTTTACACATGCACCACACACATTTCCATTATTTGTGTATTGAACAGATGATGAGGGACTGAACTATCACAAAAAATTATTTTGCTGAGCCAGTGCCCAGCACAATGCTGCCCAGAGCCTTGGGCAGCAGGGCAGCAAACTTAGACCCTGCTCTGTACTCAGTACTGTCCCATCTTGTCTTGGAACAACTCTTACTCGCAAAACATTTTTCTCAACAGAGTTTCTCAATTACTTTTATTTTAATCTTTTTTTTTTTCGTAGCTATTATCAAGAGCCCCTGGTGTCCTACCCGCCTTTCTGTGTAATACCATTCTGCCAGCTAAACACTCCCCTTGCAACCCTGCCTAACTCTGCTTTCCCTTTCTCTCCTTGTTTGTGCTCTTCTAAGCATCAATTAAGCCTCTGGCAACACCAGGTTTGGTGAGCATTGGAATGGTCCTTGTGTGTGTGCACTTGAGTATGGTGTAGATGTGGAGGGGAAAGGGGGCACAAGTTTATTCCCTTAAAAGAAGCAGCATTTGGGCTCAGTTTTTCCTTAAGCACTCAGGACATGATCAAGTCCATAGCTAGTAGCTACAGAAGTTCATCATGTTGCTGCTGTGTTTATAGTATAGCGTGGAAGGTGCTATATAAATACCAACTACTCTATTAATTCTAATAATTAGGGTTTATACCCTATATTCATTTTATGCTCTTCATAAGAAAATGTAATCAATGCAGACTACCTTAACCTTCAAGTGTCTAAATGTGGTTCATTCCAAGGGTTAACCATACTTGTAGTTTACTGTGTTAGTCCCAGTTGTATTTGACATAAAAATGTTTTTATAGCACAACCAAATACCAGCATATTTGCGGTTACAGTCAGATGTTTTTAACTATATTGGATATAACCCACAATGGTTTCAGAAGATATTTCCATTGTTTTAGCCAGATTTAGAGGGGCTGGATTAAGCTATGGCCCAGTGGTGTTTACATATGTGAGTATCAGTCTTAAAGGGCAAAGAATATGATGTTCCATAAACCTTTATACAGAAATAAATACCTTGCAGCAAAAATGTTTTTCTAAGATCAGTTACTGTTTCAACTGTAATGACCTGCTTGGAAAAGGTCAGGGGCCAAATTCTTCTCTCATTTACACTGGCGTAAATCCACAGTATTGTAAGTGCAGGATTTGGGCTTGGGAATTTAATACTTTGGAATTAATTTTCCCCTGACCTGCAACATCTAATGCAATCTATTCCATGTTTGAGCTGTTAATTTAGCAAACTATTCCATGAATAAGATCCTGATAAACTACATAACATGAGAAATTAATTCAGTCGGAGCTTCAGGGCAGCCCAAGTTTTAATTGCCTCTTTCTAAAAACAAAACCCTCCCAGTGCTGATCTGCCAAAAGGCTTGTTCAGATTGGAGATGTTACTGTTTAGACTGAATATATATGTGTATGTGTATATATATATATTTATGTTAGTAATGTACTGAAGTGCTGATCCAACTTTACAAGTGTAGCAGTCCCAAGAAATCCTCAACTCATAGTAGCCAATGCAAACACCCCTCGGTCTTTATCGGTGTTCTGGTTGAACCAAAGCTTCAGTTTCAATTTTAAACTTTATGGACTTTTCCCATATCATCTGTAAGTTCCAATTGCAATTACTATTTCTGTTCTTTACTGCTTGTAGTGAACAGCTTGTTAACATAAGGTGATTTTGTACCTTTAAATATACAAAACTGTTGGAATAGATATTATGCAAGTACAAAAGATAATTTTTTTAATTGCATACCTGACTTCTGCGAGTACAGTGCAAATCCAATGTGTATACACAAGGCAATCCATGTTGCTCTTGACAAAACGTAGCAAATATTTTGTATCTTAAAATAGTAAGTTGTTTAACATAGCTGAACTCAAAACCAGATTAACAAATCCCGGGTTAGAAGCATTCCTTGTAGCAACCAGGTATCTGGGACTCTGGACCCTCCCTCCCACAGATTCTATAGGCCAGTGTTGTAGTTTATTCCAGCAGGTATCTAAGCATCATACGGTCACTTGCTCACACCTCACCCTCTGCCCCCAGTGGGCTGGGGGAGATCACTGAGTAAAAAAAGTAAAATTCCTGAATTGTGATAGAGGCAGTCGGAATGAAAGGGGAAATTAATAATAATAGAATATACAGAAAAAGTGATGCTCAATGCAATTGCTCACCACCTGCCGACTGCTGTCCAGCCAGTTCCCAAGCAGTGATTGGCTCCTCCCAACCAACTTCTCCCAGTTTATATACTGGGCACGACATTCTGTGGTATGGAATATCCCTTTAGCCAGTTGGGTTAGCTGTCCTGGCTGTGTCTTCTCTCAGCTTCTTGTGCTTCCCAGCCTACTGGCTGGTGGAGTGGTGTGGGAAGCTGAAAAGCGCTTGACTTACTGTAAACACTGCTTAGCAACAACTAAAACATTAGTGTGTCAACATTATTCTGGTCCTAAATCCAAAACACAGCACTCTGACTGCTACTAGGAAGAAAATTAACTCTATCCCAACTGAAGCCAAGACAGTACCCATCCCTAATAGCAGTCCAAAGGGCAGGAGAGATGATCGATGGTGTTGGATTGTTGCACACCAAAGCCAGCTCTGGTTCCATCACCATTGTGCTTGTCTGGTTCTGTCATTGCTGGACTTTGCCCAGTGTCATCAAGTTTCATTCTTCATTAATCAGGGCAATTATTACTGTAATGCTGTTGATATTGCATGTTAGCAAGCATAGTAGTATAGAATTAACATCACACAATTCAAATCATTGGCTGTTCTCACCCAGAATCAAACCCCCTTGAGGTACATATGAGACTTCCCCACCCTCACACATTACCCACAATGTACATCCAGGTCACTGAGCAAAAGCAATCCCGTGGATGGGTTTGCCTTTGCCTGAAGCAGGAATAACCCCTCCTGCCCTCCCCAGAATATTTTTTATGTGTAGTACGGGGCCTGTATCCCTTTCTCTAGTATGTAATAATTTTGATTGGGCAGGGCCAGCCCAATTGGCAGTTCCCCTAGTGTTGACTACCCAGGTGGCATTTGCAGAATATGTATTCCAGTGTTTGAATCCCAGCACCCGTTACTCTCAGTGTAGCCTTTAACAGCCTGTTGTGTCATTTAATTTTCCCAGAGCTTGGTGTGTGGTAGGGAATGCAATATACCCACCTACCCAATGGGCCTTTTGGGTCCTGGAAATAACCCTCTCCTTAGGTAGTCTATGACAAGGATGCACAGAGCAAATTGGGCCAGTCACAATGGGGTGCTTTTGCCACTCATTCCCAGTCAGGTCCGCTTCAGCCTTCAATACAGCTGGCTGTTGGGATCCTCCACCACTCCAGAAATACAGATAGGTTATGCCCCTGCATAACTTGATGTCATTAGGGTACACTCTGCACAAGTGTCTACTCGAGCCTTGTGAGTCTGATATGCCAGGTTATTGAATCCACACAGTCCACTAATCCAGTTGTTCCTCTCCACTCCCTGGCTGGAGGCAGAGTCCCTCTACTTCCAGTCATAGTATTCACTATCTCTTCTTGTAAATACAGATCAGGAACCCCTTCATCAAGATCAGGAGTAAGATCAGCCATTCTACTCCATCTGGGAAAACAGCCACTGGTGATTGCAATTCATGTATCCATGCCTCTAGGGTCGAGGTAGATTTTCCATTCCACTTCCTCATGAATGATGAAAGATGAAAGAGGATCTTGTACCAATTGAAACATCAAAAACTGTTGTAATAGATATTATGTAAATATGAAGGATAATTTTTTAACACCACATACCTGACTTCTGTGAGTGCAGTGCAAATCCAGTGTGTGTGTACTCAAGGCAATCTGCTTTGCTCTTGGAAAAAATTAGCAATTTTTTTTTTTTAACCTTAAAATAGTTAGTTGATTAACAGATCATGTGTTAGAAGCATCCCTTGTAGCAACCACCTACGTGGGACTCTGCACCCCAGCCAAGCTATATAAGCCAGGCTACACATATACAGAAAATGAAGGGCCAAAACATTTCAAGGAGTAAACTCCTCTGCATATCTTGTAGCCATGGCTCTTTCACAACTGAAATGGGATCCTCCTTCTAGTAACACACATCTGTACCTCTTGCATAGCCCAGCCACTTCCTAACACTTCATTCTCGGGTGCCAGGACTTCCATCATGAACGTGAAAGCAGCAAACGAGTCCTTTGAAGCACAAAATCATGTTAAGCTATCATCCTGCCAAGAAGATTTAACACTGTGCATTTTTATGAGTTTATGTTGTTGTCCTGGGCGGTGTGGGAGCTGGTAAGTCAGAAGGGCCAGTTCTGCCAGTCTTTGAGTAATCTGGTTGAAATTTCTCCACTTGACCATGCAGTGTGTTAGTAGATAGCTTCTATATTAAAACATGATGTGGTTTTGGATATGCATTGGATTAGTTTCTCTCAAGTAACTGTTCCCATCTAATTCAGTATTATAAATACAGTAACAAGTGAGAGGACTTTTATTGTAGTTTTAATTCAACACAGAGCACCACATATATATAACCACTGAAAACAGAACCACAACTTGACAGACTCAGATCTGGCTTTTCCCTAATCCTGTGGGCTCTGTGCAAAATGCTAATGGAAAAATACCCAGGAAAGGATGGGATGAGATTAAATCAAACTCCCTATAGTTCTTTGGAGGTGTTGCTGCCTCTGCAGAGGACCTGAGGTGAAGGGAGTGCCAAGTCAAAGTTTGTCCCAGAGACTCTGAAGGGATTCAGAATTTTTTCTGTTAGTAACTGAAGCTCCATGTCGAAAAATCTTCCTTCTTTGCACAGCTCTCCACCTCCCATCCTGGAAGCAAAACTTAATTCAGAGCTCTGGTGTTGTTTCATATTCATGTAACTGTGCAAAAGCAAGAGGACTCTGAGAGTTTATGGTGGTGTTTGCTGTGCTAAGAACCAGATGGATTTCTATCCAGATGTCCTAACAGCTGCTGAAAAGGCGTGCAGTAGAAAATTATTACTTCCCAGTTACACATGTAGTTCCTACATGTAGAAAAGACATAGAAAGGCACTGGTAGAGTTAGGGGTAAAAGGAAGCACTTGTTTCACTTCTTTCCCACCTACTGTGAGAAACTCAGGGCTTTTATTCTTGTTCCTCTTTACGTCACTATAGATTACATAGTTCCTTACTTCTTGTTTTCCAATCCCATATTCTGAAGATCAGGTGTGGTCAGGTGTGATCTGTGAGCTCAGATATGTCAGGAAATGCTGCTTGAGGAACCACTTCTGCATTTCAGTTGGACTCATTTCCATGTGCTGTTTTGCAAAATGTGCCAGTCACACTTCCACCCTTTGAATTCTGTTACTCCCATTTTGTGATTGGGAGATCCAAATGTAATTAAATGAAGTTATTAAAGAAAATTCCTTTAACTTCAGGTAGACCAGGCTTTTACTCCTACCCCTTTCTCAAAAGAAATTATGACAAGATTGTGCAAGTGTAAGCACCTACCACCAATGGCCCAGTGCTACAAAGCACTTGGCAGACAGTGACATATTCCCAAAGAGTTGCAGTGGGTCTGCTGATCACCACCCAAGTGAGCACATGGAATCATAGAATGGCTTTGGGTTGGAAGGGACCTTAAAGATCATCTAGTTCCAGCCCCTATGCCATGGGCAGGCACACCTTCCACTAGACCAGATTGCTAAAAGTCCCATCCATCATGGCCTTGAACACTTCCAGGGATGGGGCATCCACAACTTCTCCAGACAACCTGTTCCAAGGCCTCACCACCTGTTCCAGTGTCTCACCATGTAACAACCCTCACTGTTGCCCTCCATGGGAAAAGTTCTGATTTTATGCATGCACATCTGAGTAGAGAGTCTAATGATTCTCATCTCAAAAAATAGGGCTAGCTTGCCTGTTTCAAAGCTAGCTGTCTAAAACTGTATCCTTGCATACATCCCAACATGCTGAGCAGTACTAGCAGTTTTCCTCTGTAATGGGCAAGATTGTTCACAGAATATAGTGCTTGAGGTAGAGTTAAAAACTCTGGGAAAGGCTACTTCACCATGGAATGGGCTAGAAAAAGTTGATGCTGGATTTGTCTTCTTTCAGGAAAGGAAAATATTTAAGGAATGTAGTGTTAGCTGCTAACTAGAGGCAAGTTTGTATATGAAAGGGGCATGAGAATAGGAGTTGGTTCCATTTTGCAGGGTGAGTATGTTTTTGAAGTCTATCCTTGTAATCAAATAGATTCAGATATATGAGGTTTGTTGGTTGGTTGGTTGGTTGGTTGGTTGGTTGGTTGGTTGGTTGGTTTTTTGGGTTTTTTTTTCAGGGGAGGGCAAGAGGATGTGTATTTTCTATTTTCAAGGATCCAGTCAGTGTCAGGAGCCTATTGTATTAGGAGTTACTTAAAGGCATAGAAAGCAGTTATCCTGCCTGAAGAAGCTCAAAGCCCATAGCACACAGAGAGATGTTGTACTGGTAAGAGAAAAAGTCTGCTCTCTTAACACAGTAGCCTTTTTTATTTCTATTTCACTTAATTTTTAGATGTAGTTTAAACAAACAACTTTTTTAAACCAAATACGCAGCAACAATAATACAACTAGGTTAAAAACTCTGTTTATTTTGTATTTTTGTTTTTGTCCCCTCAAAACAAGTAGTTTTTCCCCTCAAAATAAGTAAGAATTAGCAGCTGTACTTAGAATGAATTCTGTTCAATGTGTGCTGTAATTGCTTTTGTTCCTCATCTCATAAAGTTGGGTGTTGTTTTTTTTAAAAAAAAAAACCCCAACCATTCTAGTGAAAGTTTCGTCTGTTTAACAGTTGATAGATTTCTCTCTTGTTCCATTAGGAAGCTGATCCAGCTTCAGTTTCTGAATATCCGAGTAGTGTCAGTGCACACGTCTTCTGTCAAGTTCAATTAAGAATAGCTCAGATAGAAGTTGAGTATTTTTCCATTGCAAATCATAACTTCTTGACCTTTTCAAAACTTCTTCTGCAGATGTTCCTATGACGGAGTGTCAGACTCCACTTGGGCATCATTCCCTCATTAATGTAAAAGAGTGTGACTGTGTCTTCTTTTACACAAGCAGCTTTGTTTTGTTTTCTCTGCTGTTATTTGAGTTTCATTTTGGAGTGTGCATATGCTCAGATTTCCCGTCTTGCAGCACAGCTGGCTATACCCAGGGGTCTGCAGTCTCAAGTTTGCAGCTAGCACTGCTGAGGGGGGAGAGTGCACCAGTGAGGAAAAAGGAAGGGATGCAGTAGTACAATTTTAACAATGTGAAGATCATGGATTTATTTTGTTTATATGTATATATTTCAATAGCTTGGTCAGACTAATAAGGGAAGGGTATTGCTATGTTGC